CCCCACAGTCCCTGTTCCAGGAGGCGTGGTGGGGCCTCTGCCCCAGGTTCCCAGCGAGGCAGAGGCCCTGCACCCAGACAGCTGCTCCTGCCCGCCCGCCTGCCAGCTGCTCTGCAGGGAGGGCAGATGGAAGGATGGGGTTTTCCACCCCGCCGCCCCACTGCGGGCCAGGCCTGTGTTTGGGGGGAGGGGAGGAGAACGGATCTCCTCCCTCCTTTTGGGAAACAACTTGTCATGTCCTCTAAAGACCTCAGGCTTTGGGATCCCAGGGCCCGGCAGCCAGTTCACTTCCTGTTTGACCTTAGACAAACCAGGTAACTTCTCTAACCATGGCCTCGGGGTCCTGTTCCCCTCCTCCCCCCACCCCCCAAAAAAATAAGATCATGTCTCTACCAGCACTCATCCCTGTACACAGGAGCTGCCATTAAATGTTGTCTTTATGGTAAGGTGGGCTCCACAGAAACTTACATTTTGCTGATTTTTTTCTTTCTTTTTTTTCTTCCTGCCCCTTCTAAGCAAAAAACAAACAAACAAAAAAACAACACACAAAACTTGGCCTTATGTCTTGGGTTTCCCCTGCCTGGAGAAGCCAAATCTCACCTTCAGGCTGCCTTTAGGATGGGCCTTCCCGTCTGTCCTGCAGACTTTGGGTTGTTTATTAACTGCGTGGCCACCTACCGTGCAGTCACTGCTGGCTGGGAGGCTGGGTTGCCAGATTTAGCAAATAAATTCATGGACACTGAGTTAAATTTGAATTTCAGGTAAACAACAAAAATTATTTTTTAAAATATTTCTCTGCATCGTAAGTATGTCCCGAGCACTCTTTGGGACATACTTATAGGAAAACGATTATTCATTGTTTATCTGAAATCAAATGCGGTTCAGCAGTCTGTATTTTACCCAGAGGATAAAGGTGGTCACGTCTGGCATGCCATTCAGTGTGGAAGCCTCGGGTGGTGTTTCTCCCCAGCCCCAGGGACCCCACCCGTGCCCCTTTGCCAGCCCTACCCTGCCCCCGCCCCCACCCCTGCCCCCAGAAAAGCCAGCCACCAGCTGTAACCAGCCTGTCCGGAGCTGCTGAGCCTCTCCTTCCTGTCTGGTGCCCCAGCAGGGCAGGCGGGTAGAGTGTGAGGCAGCCAGAGAAGGCTGAGGGAAGGACAATATGGGGGGGGCCCTTTCTGGAAACTGGGCCAGGTGAGGAGAAGAGCAGGGTAGGCGGGGTTCTTGGGCCGGAGGCAAAGGCTTGGGCTGAGAGGTAGGCTTAGGCTGGGGACCCCCTGGGCCTTTGGTCTGAGGGTCCCTCAGTGTCTTGTGGTCGACAGAGACAGGCTTGTTCCCAAGGATTCCCATTGTCCCTGGGGAGAGGGGGGGTGGGCCTAGGGCCTCACCTGGGAACCCCGGGGGGTGCCCTCCTGCCAGGGCAGGCCAAGTGAGTCTCGGCCTAGTGAGGGTAAGGGCAGCCGTCAGCCAGGCCTCCTGAGGCATCGAGGACCAGCTCTGGGAAATGAACACAAAGTGAGGGATTTAGAGCTCTCGCTGAGGGAGCCAAGTGACCCCAAGATAGTCTTGCCCTTGGACCTGGACCTGGGAGAACATTGGAAATTGACCTTGGCCGGAGATTCTGGGTGGGTACTTATAGTTTATATAGGAGCCCACGCTGAGGAGGGGCTCTGCTTCTATAGCTAGGACCTCACTTAGTCTTTAAACCCAGGAGCCCAAGTCTGAGGTGGAAGACAGATCCTTAAGCATGTGGTTACCGGGGGCCATCAAGGCAGGAGGGCTCGGTGCGCCCAGGGGCGGCTTCATGGCAAGGTTGGGGTGGGCCCGGTGTCTACAAGTGGGGAGAGCTGGGGGATCTGAGGGAGCCTCAGACGCTGGGGAGGAGGGTGTGTGAGCTCCTTGTGATCAGATCATGTTTTTGAGAGTAGCCAGAAGTCTGGATTTCTATGTTGTCTGACTTTTTTCTTTTGCTTTTTTGTAAAGTTTGGCAAACTGATTCACATTTTTTAAAAATATATTTTATTGATTTTTTACAGAGCGGAAGGGAGAGGGAGAGTTAGAAACATCGATGAGAGAGAAACATCGATCAGCTGCCTCCTGCACACCCCCTACTGGGGATGTGCCTGCAACCAAGGTACATGCCCTTGACTGGAATCGAACCTGGGACCTTTCAGTTCGCAGGCCGACGCTCTATCCACTGAGCCAAACCGGTTAGGGCTGATTCACATTTTTAAAAGCACCGTGCAGGCCAGACAAAACGGCCTGTTGGCCACTCACTTGCCACCCGAGATGTAAGGTAATGACTACAGCTTAGAACCCTCATTGGGGGTGGGGCCGTGTGCCCGGGTGATGGGTTTGGGGGCGGTAGTGGGAGCTCCGCTGCTCCTCTGCGCCCATGTGGTGTGTTTCCCACGGCGCTGTCCAGCCACCTGCTTGATGAGACCCTGGAGCTCACGCGACATGTCTGTGAGATCCCTGCTCGTCCCTGGTGCTCGCTCAGTGACTTACACCTGAGCTCCGGGCCCCGTCTCTGCTTGGCTGGCTGCTGTCCGAATGGCAGGCCTGAGGTCGGGCTTTAACTCTCTACCCTGTGTCCCATAGCCCCTCAGAGTCCACACCTAGAAATGCAACTGGAGCACAGTGACCTGGGGACTCGGGCCAAGGGTTGCCAGCTGGGGCATCAGGACAACCTGGTTGTGTTGAGCTCATCACCTGTAGGGCCTGTAACCTCTCTGAGAAGCACCTGCCATTGCAAAGATTCATCTTCACTGTTGTGTGGCCAGCAAACCCAGACCTGGTCCAGGGTGGTCGTGGCTGTTGGCTGGCTTTTCCTGGGGCCAGATCTGAAAGGTGTGTTACAAGTCAATTCCTTTAAAAAAAAATTTTTTTTTTCTAGTGATTTGAGAGAAGAAGGAGAGGGAGAGAGAGATAGAAACATCAATGATGAGAATCATTGATCAGCTGCCTCTTGCACGCCCCCTACTGGGAAGGGAGCCTGTAACCCCGGGATGTGCCCTGACTGGGAATCAAACCATGACCCTGGTTCATAGGTCAGTGCTCAACCACTGAGCCACACCGGCTGTGTGTTTTTCGTTATTGTTTTTAACACGATCAAACTGTGGATTTGCTGTCCTACTGGAGCCCAGGCCCAGGCAGCCAGTTGAGGCCTTGTGAGCAGTGAGTGCCTCTGGTCACGTGCACAGGTACCAGCAGTTGGGACTTCTGCCCGGCATCTGTTGCTGTGTGCTCTGTGGAGTGGATTCTTCATTTTCACGGGAGACAGAAGCGCAGAAGGTGGGCTCTGGGGTCACAGCCTGTGTCCAGTCCTGGTTCTGCCATTGAGTAGCTACGTGACTATGAACTAGTGGTCTCACCGCTCCGGACCGCCCGTCTCCCCGTCTGTAAAGTGGGGTGATAGTGGTCCCCCTCTCGTAGGCCTGTCGGCGATGTCTGGGAGAGAGGGCATGTAAACAAAAGGCTTGGCACGAGGCCTGGGCACACAATGGCTATTATGATTGTTGCTTTGTCACTGAGACTGTTTCTTGGAACGCCCCTGTCCCTTCCTGGCACCTTCTGACTATTCAGGACGGAGATGGGGGAAGACTCAGACTGAGGATGGTCCATCCTGCCCCCGGGGAGGTGTGAGTACTGGCTCTGGGGAGAATGCCTCCATTTCTTTACCCGCCACCTGGGGAAGGTGACCGTTCTTGCCACACAAGGTTATGGGAGGAGTAGAGTAAGTGTGTCCCGTGCTTAGCACAGAAAACGTACCAGAAAGGTCATTCGTGTGATAGTAAAACGGTCCCTCGCTCCCTCCAGAGGGAACGCGCAGGCCCGCGCAGCCCAGTGTGGGGGGCAGAGGTGTCTGTGGTTGGGGGAGGTGGTTTTGAGTGTGCTCGGGCACCCAGAACCCCCTGTGGTGAAGGGGGCGCCTGGTGGCTGTGACGTGAGGTCCCCCCACCCCACATGGAGGGGAAGGCCCAAGACTGAGACCTGGGCAGGGAGGTTGGAGAAGGTGCTAGACAGCCCACGAGCAGAGGTGCCCACCCACGCACAGTCCTTGGTTCTGGCGGAACCTTGTCACTGGAGTTGCTGAGGGTCCTGGCAACTAGGCCACCTGTTCCAGGTGTGCATCTGGCCCCAGCCTCCCACTTCTCCCGAGATGGTGCCAGGGGCGTGGACCCTGGGGCCAGACTGCCCGGGTTCGAATCCCAGCTCTCCCTCGGGCGGGTGATTCCCGGGGTTTGGGGCAGGAAGGGATACGACCTGGCTTATGGACTGCAGGAGGTCAAGGTGGAACAATAATTTAGAGAATGACAATGGCTTGGAGCAGAGTGCTGGGGAGGAGCGGGGGGTCATTACTATCCTTCGTGAAGACCGGCGACCCCTCTTCCTCCTAGTGGCTGGCAATTTTCTCCTCTTCACTCATACGCCCACCTCTAGCAGCAGGAGCCCCAGACACTGTCCCCCAGGAGTTTAGGATGCAGCCGGGCAGGGGTAGGGGCAGCTGTGCAGACGGGGGCCTTCGGAGACAAGGCCCCGAAGCACCTGCCAGGCTCGGGGCATCTCTCCAACCGGCTGCTGCCCACGGTCCAGGCTGGGCTTCCCCATTACGTACGACCCTCGACCCTCGGTATCGGCGCTTGGGGCCTGCCCTTGGGGGTTTGCCCCTGCTCTCCTGCCCCCTCTGCTGCTCCAGAGGGCAGAGCGAGGGGTGGTTAGTCCAGCTGTGTGCCCCTGCTTCCCCCCCCTCCCAC